GTCCTCTGACTTCCACATGACCTCCTGTGATGTACTTCTTTCAACAGGGCCACACAAACACACACATGCGCACGCACACACACACACACACACACACACGGAGACACACACCCACACCCACATGTGCACAGTCAGATTTTAATTTGTAAAGTACCATTAAAAATATTGTGTTGGCAAAAAACATACACAGGCTGGACCTTGACCCCCTGCACATCTGTAACATATGTGCAGCTCAGACTTCATATAGATCCCCTAACAACTGGAGATGGGGCTATCCCTAAAGCTGTGGCCTGTCTGTGGAACATGTTCTTCTAGCTGGGCTGCCTTATCTGGCTTCAGTGAGAGAGTGTGTGCCTAACTCTGCAGGGCTTTGATGTGTCAGGGATTGGCTATACCCGGAAGGGTGCTGCCACCCTCTCAGAGGAGAAGGAGGGGAAAGATGGACTGTGTGAAGGGGGGACTAGGAGGGGACAGCAATCGGGACGTAAAGTGAGTAAATAAATACATTTTTAAAAATACTGTGTTGGTGTTAGATGTTAAAGGTCCAAACCCACGGGATGCGCTCTCCCAGAGGTACTCATGGACAAGACATGCTGCAATTTGCATGGAGTTTATTGAAGAATTGATAGTGGCTGGTGCACCAGAGCCCCTCTGCTTGCAGGCAAGAGGGAACCCCAAATTGGGGTAAAGAGTGGTTTATATACAGAGTTCACAAAGACAGTTAATAGCTTCTTGGACAATATTAAAAAGATTTCAAACATTTGTTCTCAAGCCTAGTTTCCGTTCTCAGACTTGGTTCCTAAGTAACTCAAATTTACACCTTTATCTTTATAACCCAGGGGAATTCATCCCAGTGGCTTCTGTTTACCCAGGTGTATTATTTTAAGGGTTTATCTCCCCTATCTTGGGCCTTTTTTTTCTGGAATGTTTGTTCGAGCCTTTGGGATGTACTCTTCCCGGGATGTGCCTCAGGGACCACTAATATTTGAGAATAAATTGAAATTCCAAGCCTAAGAATCCTTCATGCTGTGACCTGAAATTACATTCTTACATTGGGACTGCAAGATGGATCAGTGGGTAAAGGCTCTTGCTCTTCGAGTCTGAACGGCCTAAGCTCAAGCCCCAAAATCCCTGGAACCAACTCCCAAAAGTTGTCTTCTGATCTCTACACATGTGCTGTGGTATGTGTATGTCCACATTCTCCCCCCCTCACTCACTCACACATACACACACACACACACACACACGCGCGCGCACAAATAAAATAATAAAACAATCCTAAAAATGGACAAAAAATTTGCACCTCAGCCTATTGAGCTATTTCCCAGCCACTATCTGTTTCATTTAACCTTGAGAAGATTTAAATGTGTCGAATTCTGTTAAAATGGGAAAATAGAGGTAACCGATGCTCCCGATGCTCAGTGGACCCACAGACGCTTGCCTGAGGTTGTAGAGAGGGCTCAGTCCCAACCTGCCTACATCCTATGCCCATCTGCCCAGTCCTCTTCTTTTTGATTTTTTTAAAATTTCCTAACACTTTTCCAAATCAGCCTGTTTCTGACTTAACTCTCTCCAAGGGATGGCAGGCTGAGGCTGCCGTTCCTATTTTTAAAGGTAAATAGTTGGCAGAGGTAGGGAAGGGGTGAGGTCAGCTGAGGTGGTGGTTCTGTGGTCCTGGGTCCTCATGCATGTGTCTAGCCAGCTCGCCAACCAGCAGGACGGACACATGGAGCATCTAGCCCATTCCAGCTGTCCAAGACCAGTCTAGTGCTTCAGCTCCCCCTCTCCTCTTTTCTTCTGGGCCTCCTCAGCCCGGACCCTGTGGTTGGCCTGCCCACAGAGACCCAGTGCCCAGAATGCTGCCCCTAACTACAATCCTAGCCCTTCAAGCAGAACAGTCTGTGAAGTGGGTGGGAACTGTAAGGCCCTTTTAAAGGAGCAATAAAAGTTTTAGGTTTCAGATCTCTTCCTGAAGAAGAGAATAACAGAGACAGGAAATTTCAGTAGCCGACTGACAGAAGCAGGCGGCACGCAGACTGCCTCAGACAAAAACACCTCTGCATGCAGGTCCTGGCGGGTGCCCAGGCTCTCTCCTGCGCCCCAACTGTGTCTCCCCTGCTTAGGGAAGCCAGGCTGCTGCTACAATGGACTGTTGTGTCTATCTCGCTGTAAATGTTTATACTATCCCTCTCCATTTGCCTTGCTGTCCAAGGTAGAGCACACTCTTCTTCTGAGTGGGGCCCCAAGGGGATGTACTAGGAGAATATGTGTGGTCACTTGACCAAGGCCAAGGTCACTGACACTGAGATGAGTGTGGTCATGCCCAGGCCCAGGACAGCTGTGACAGTTCTGTGCTTATTCATCTTCCCAGATTTAGAAGTGACAGACTGGGAGAAGGGCCTTACCCTTTCAACCATATCCTTTCAGGGAAGTCCCAGCCAGATCTGGGAGTCCCAGACTCTCTGCTTCTGCCCCTTGTTTTAACTTGTGTGTATGTGTGTGTGTGTGTGTGTGTGTGTGTGTGTGTGTGTTCTAATTACCTACCATGTACCTGGAGTTCAGATGCACTGTGGCATCTGCAGTCCTGCTCATGGGTATTTCAACTTGAAGTTGCTACTCACAGTTCTGACTCAGCTTACCAACCACTGAGCATATGATCAGCTGTGCCAAGAGGGGACCCTATACTTATACAACAGGTTCCCTCAGACAGTATGGATCTTCAACTCCTAGGAGCTCCCAGAGCAGCTTTTCTAAGCACTCCAGATCTCTCTGTCATGCAAGATAGGAGAGGAAATCCTGTCCAGAGACCTAAGTGACTGGCTGGCCTTGGAGTCCCTCTTTGGCTCCATGTGCCATGACTCCCAAATTCCATGGACACAGAGACCCTGAGATGGACAGCACCAGGGTTCAGAGTCAGGGTTGGCATCTTGCTAGCTTTAAAGTCTCAGCGGCCACTGGGGAAGCATGGTGGCTTATCTCTTCCTGACCCTGGTTGGCATCCCAAGAAGTCAATGTAGACCTTGGAGGAGACCACAGCTGGAGGGACTGGAGAAACCATTGCTAGGTCTTCATCCACTGTCTTGTGTTACTAGCATTCCTGGTCCTCAGTGTCCTCATTTGCAAACCAGACTTAGGACTGTGCCCAGGCCCCCAAACAACAGCCATGGGAGCTGAGGGGCTTGGGAAGGCAAGGCTACATCTGGAGCACTAGAGCCATGCACAGGCTGCGGTGGCTAGACGGGAGTGTACCTCCTAATCTGTGACTTATAGACTTGGCCAGGTGCCCAGAAGGCTCTCATAAACCAGCAGCACCACCAGCCTGTGAGTGTGGCCCTTAGGCTGGGCCACTCATGGCCCCTCCCCACTGAAAGACATTTTGCTGCCTCCAGGTTTCTAAGAGTGAGTTTCCAGGGTTGCTTGCTGGGAGTGGGGGTGGGGGTGGGGGTAGGACAGAGAAGGAATGGGGCCACTCTGCAGTCACCTGCTTCTGGAGGGGCCCCAGACCTGGCATGTCTCCTCTCACTTGGGATGCCCAGCTCTGACTCGGTAGTCTGTCCTCTGGAAGTAAATGATGACCCAAAAGAAGATTGAGCTCCAGGATAGCCTCCGTCTTCCTGGTGCTTGAGCTCAGGAGATATGTGTTTAAAGTATATATGCATATGTCTTGTGTGGGTGTGTGTTTACATCTGCTGGTGTCTATGTGTCTGTGCTTGACTGGAGACCAGATAAGGGCAGAGCAGTAAGGTGAAGAGGCCTCCATGCCTCAGAGCATTGTCTCCACTGTCCCTTTGCTTCCCCTTCTGCGGTTTGTTTGTTTTTACTTTATTTTTGTTATTTTTTAGATTCATTTATTTTTAATTTTTGTGTCTTGTGTTTTGCATCCAAGTATGTATATGTACCACATATGTGCCTGGTCTCCTGGAGGCCAGAAGACAGATCTGACCAGACCCTCTAGAACTGGAGTTACAGATGGTTGTGAGCTGCCACATGGGTGCTGGGAACTGAATCTGGATCCTCTGTAAGGGCAGCAAATGGTCTTAACCACTGAGCTATCTCTCCAGCCCTCTGCTCCTTTCTTGAGGAACCTCAGAGCTCAGACTGTGTGGTCTTGGCTTCCTTACCTGATAAGTGAGGCCTAGCACCTAGGAGCCAGGTTTGAACATTCTGAGGTGGCCTGTGATACCATGGGCTACTATATCATTAAAAGTCTCTGGAGCCAGATATGGGATGAGGCTTATGGGTAACCTCTGTCTACCACCAGGGTCTGGAGTGATCAGGGCATGGAAAGGCAGGTAGAGGTGCCCAGGATACAGAGAGGTGTGGGTGGTCTATATGGAAGTAGGCATCCAGAAAGTTTGGCTGGGGTGTCAACTGGAAAGAAAGGAGCACTCAAGCCAAGTGGTGGAGCTGGCTTCCTGAAGAGGTACAGGAGGTGACTCAGGAAAGATTGCCAGCTGCCTACTGGATGGGGATTGTATGTGGGTAGCTGCTCCCTTGAAGTTGTACCATCTGGAAACATAAATAAGTCCCAGACAGGTATAGGTAACTTCCTGCTGACAGCTGGGCCTTGGGTCACTAGGAAAGGGGATGCTGGGGGTGTTGGGGAGATTTAGACTTGTGAGGTGATGTCTGAAAGCTGCTGTTGTGGCTGCCATGTCCTGCCATGCCTTGACCCCCAGGCTGCCACAGACAAGACTGCTTACAGCATAGCACAGTCCCAGCAATGCCTGGCCCAGGGGTATTGCCTGTGCCCACTTTTTCTTCAGGGTCTCAGAGTAAAATTCAGGACAGTGTAGAGTAAACCAAAGACCAGCAGTATACCCTGTTTTCAACCCAGGTACCCAGGCCAGCAGCAGACTCAGCTCTGTGTCTAACCAGCCTCTGGCCTTAGGCCAGCTGCTTACTCTGAACACAGGCACTCCTCAGAGACCAGAACGGTCACACTCAGCACACAGACTTGGTCCAGGAACTAGGATGTATGTCATTAGGTGAAGCTAATGACTAGTGGCTGGTCAAGAGTTTACTGTGAATGGCTGAATCGAAAACCCACTGAAGGGATGGGACTCAGGCAGGGGTATGCAAGCTTGGGTCCAGACTGGGGCTGGGCTCACTGGCTCCAGCTTCCTAAGTGGGAGCTTTCAGAGCCTGGGGCAGGGGGTGGAAAGGGCAATCCCAGGTTCCTAGGGAAAGCAGACAATCCTGGTAGGCAGGGCCTAGGAAATAGATAACCCTGTATGCTGCTGTTGGATATGCTGCTGGGTTGCGACTTGTGGCCAGTATTTACTGGACTAGATCTCTGGCAGGAGCACCTATGTTTATGGGGGATAAAGTTCTTTTTTTTTCTTTTTTCTTTTTTTTCTGAACAGAGTGAAACAACTGCTGAACACAGGATTGGTGGGTCCCCAAGCAGCATTTAGCAGAGTGCAGCAGGCCTGCTGGTCTCTTGGAGTTCAGAGGAGACCATTTCTCATGGACATGCCACATGGGAAAGTATAGGAAGTATCCTGAGAGAGACAGCAGGGCTGCCAGACAGGAAGGCAGGAGCCTGGAACGGGGGTGGGGAGCTGAGATCAGACACAAGTGCAGCAGAGAGTGGAGAAGGTCAGCTTGGCGGGGGCCCCTGCATTCCCAGCCTTCTTGTTGACCTTGGGCAGTAGCAGGACAAAGGACATGGCCAGGGCACAGTGGTAGAAGCTGTGAACGTAGGTATAATCCCATTCCTGTGGAGGAGAACGAGTCAGTCTGGGCCTCTACCCCTTCCCTAAACTAAGTCCTCCTAGGCATCTGGTGCCTCTACCAGCCATCCCACCCTGAGAATATGGCAGAAGGGCTTGCTGCCTTTCTCTGTTCCCTGTCCCCTGGGTGCTGGGCAGCAGCCCCTGGTTCCTTCCAGGATACGCATGCATCTTGGGTGCAGGCTTCCTTAAGTCAGGGCCTGACTTTCCACCCAGGCTGTGATGCTGGTACACTGGGGATGGCGAGTACCGTCTTCAACAGGCCAGAATCCACAACTTGGAGCCTCCACAGAAACAGTCCCGCTATCTTCCCTGTTAAGTTGAATCATTTCCAGAGGGCTCTGGAAGGCTTGTTCCCCTCCCCCATAGGCCAGGTACCTCAAAGAAGAAGCGAAGCATCAGGGCCAGTGCCCCAAAGCAGAGGCCGGGGCCTATCTGCTGGGTGTAGATGCTCTTGTCAGGGTACAGACCTTTCTTCTCTTTCATCTTCTTCAGCTGCAGGCACAAGGTGGGGACATCAAAGTTCTTGGGGTGCAGCACAGGAAGGATCCCACCCTGAATTGTAGAAGAGCTCCACCCCCATTCCTCTGTATGCCTGAGTGATAGGACTTGGAATCTCTGGGTCAACTTCCCCTGGGTCCTCCGCTGCCTGTGTGTGGTGATCTTTGGCACTTCAGTGGCAAACATACATGATCAGCTTTACTGGCTAAGGGATCTTCTTCCGTTAACCCTGGCTTTGCAGGCTCTGATGCCTTACATGAGGGTCTGGTGTGTGTTCAAGCTTGGTAAGATGGAGTGTTACGTGGAAAAGATGGGAGGCCCTGTGGTTCCTCACTGGAATGCAGATCCTGGGGGCCCAAAGGTATTTTAAACGCAGGATTGTTCAGGTTTCAGTGGGGAAGATCAATATAAATACCACTGTCAGGTGCGCACAGTGGGCACAGGACAGTGGCACTGACTGCACACCTTACTATATACATTACATACACAAAGCCTTCGTGCAAGTCAGGGCAAGCTTTGCTACTCTGCGTGAAGATGTGGTGCTGTTTCCAAGTGTTCTATAACTTGACCTTAGTAAGAGCAGCGGAGGTCCCATGAGCCATGTCAATTAGCCTGAGTGCAGCCAGTATGGTCATCAATCGCACAGTTCTAACACCGGGGCTCCAGAGAGGGGAAGAATACCCATGGGCCCTGCCTTGCCCCAGGAATCCCTATTTCCCATTTCACTCAGCTTCTTCTCCCTATATGTGGTTTTCATACTTCTTTCCCAAAAGGGTGAGTCATGGGAAAGAATTGTACCCCATTCTAAGAAGTAAGTCCAAACCACCTGCATATCTAAGGTCTAGGAGATGGAATCTGTGTGCCCCAGGCATGGGAGGCTGCAGCCTCTCCCATTCTCACCAGAGACCTGGGAAGGCTGGCATTTACACTGGCATATGTATGCTATCCTGGTTAATTAAAATCCAGTCAGGGTGGGTGTGCTGGCTTTAACCCCAGCACTCAGGAGGCAGAGGTAGGCAGATCTCTGTGAGTTTGAGGCCAGACAGATATACAAAGTAAGAGCCTATCTTAAAAAAAAAAAATCGAGTCAGATCTAGTGAAGGGGCTGTGATAGGCAGGACAAGGAGGCAGTTATCAGAGCAAGCCTTCCTGTCTATGCATCCCAGCTTGATAGCTAACTAACCATGCAGAACCCCAACACCCCTGCCTCAGGTCAGACAGGACCAGCTTTGGCTCCTCAAACTGGAGTGCAATGGAAGCTTCTCCTCTCGAAAGTCAAGTGCAGCTGCCATTACCTACTGGGGTTAGGCTGCTGGGCTCTGTGCACTTCAGGTTCGTCCTTAACTTAAATCAGAATGAGCCTGGGTTCCTTGGAGCCCTCAGGAATAGAACTTGGCTTGGAAGCTTCCTGCCTGACTTTACCTGTCCCCACTTTGCTGAAGATGGATCAGAGCTTCCCCCAACCCCACCACATACTCTCTTCTCTCTCTCTCTCCTCTCTCTCTCTCTCTCTCTCTCACACCACACACACACACACACACACACACACACATTCTCACTCTCTCTCTCACACACACACACTCTCTCTCTCACACATACACACACACATATTCTCACTCTCTCTCTCACACACATGCACATACTCTCACTTTCTCTCTCTCACTCTCTCTCTCTCTCTCTCTCTCTCTCTCTCTCTCTCTCTCTCTCACACACACACACACACACACACACACACACACACACACTCACTCTCTCTCTCACACACACACACACAGCATTGCCTATCCTGATCTGCACTGCTGCAGCTCTTCTACTGGGAACCTACAAGAGCCCAAGTGTGCTTCCTGCATGAGGTAGCAGAGGCATGGGAACTTGAGGCCTGGGTGCTGTCTGCTCTGTCCTAAGCCTACTGGCCTGGAAGGTCTGTGTTTTGGGCCTAACTGCTCTGGGTGAGGCCCAGGAAACATCCCTGGGTCTATCCTATTATCAGGAACCTTGTTCATGTTGGCTAACTTAGGTGGGTTTTAGGCCTTGGAGGCAAGAGGGCCTTAAGGCCATAGAAGAGTTAGGAGCCTACACAGCAGAGTAGATGCCAGACACCAGTCCCTCCTCCAGGGACAGTCCTATTGAAAACCTTGCTTCACCCCCGTCTCAAACCTTCCTTCCTTGGGAAGACTATCTAGATTAACCTAGCTAGTCTCCAAATTGGTATTACACCTGTAAGCAGTGTTGCCTCTCAGAATGATAATGATGGTGACACTTATGTTGATGAAAAATTGACAATGACTGTCATGACAACGAAAGGTCTCCCCATCTCTAGGTACATTAAAAACCATGTCTGTGCCTGTGCTTAGAAGCATTCTGTATGGGTATTTGGAAGCAGACCAGAGGTCAAGAGAAAAGGAGGACCAGTAATTACCAATAAGCCAGCAGGGCATGGGGCTCAAGTATGAGTCACCATTTTTAGGGATTCTAGGGGTTTGGGCCCAATTCTTATGTTAGTTCACCTGCATATAAGGATATGGGGTTTAGGATCTTATATAGGAGAAACTGAGATCAATGGAGAAATGCAGGTTCGTTGGGCCTGGCAGCTGAGATACCAGAAGTACTTACCCACTTTACTGCAATGATGAGAATGGCTGTGCCTACCGGACCAGAGTATACCCCATAGCCCCAGCGGTCATGGAAGGTCCGCACGGCAATGGTAAGGACACCGAGCATCATGAAGGTTGATCTCTGGGGTTCATCAAAGTCTGCCAGTGCTGGGGAGAAGTACAGCAATGGGGAGCAGCTTCCCACCACATGGCTGTGCCTCCACCCTTTGGAACCTATTGGGATGCCCTCTCAATCTGTAGGACCCCAAGGCCCAGCCTGGTCTCCACAAGGTCTGAATTTTGGTTATTTGGAGGAAATGGAGGATGCTATTTCCCTGGAGCTGGCTGGCTGAAATGAACCAGTAGACTGAGTGACCAGTATTTCCTGGGAATCCTGGGACAAAAGTATTGAGACTAATAAGTGGTGCATAGGGCTGAGTCTCAGGAGGAACCGTCTGTGACTGCATCTCTGGGAGACAAGGGTGAATTTGCTTGGTTTCTCTCTTTTCTCTTTCCTTTCCTTCCCTTTCTTTCCCTTTCCTTCCCTTTCCTCCCTCCCTCCCTTCCTTCCTTCTTTCCTTTGTCCTTCCTGCTTTCTTCTTTCCTTCATCTCTTCCTTCTTTCTCTTTCAAAATTTTGCAGTGCTGGAGATGGAACCGAGGGCCTATTGATCACCAGACAAGTGACCCACCATTGAGCTGTATGTACCCCAGGTGCAAGGTGAGGATTTAGAGTGGTCTGCCTTCCTAAAACACAGAGCTGAGATGACCCAGGAGGGCAACGTCTCTTTCAGCAGATTAAGCTCTGCAAAGCAGCAAGGAAGGAGAGGATGTCAGAGATGGGCTGGGTGCTGGCTGGTGTTCAGGACTGGCTCCCACCCATTGGCAAAGATGGCCACTTACCCATCAGGGAGACCCACATACTCAGGGCTGTCCCGTAGATGCTGAAGTACTCCAGGATATCACGGCGCATGAAGCACAGCACAGACAAGCCAGGACCATCGCAGGCATGGGAGAACTGTAGGGAAATCACATGAGGTCAGCAGGCAGTGGGCAGCCCAGGAGTGGGTGAGAATTGGTTCTAAGCCTCAGGCCCCTCACTAATTGTGAGCCCTTAATGGCTTTGTGCCTCAGCCTCCTCATATCAGAGCACAGGGCTGGATATTCCCCTTATGGAGATTAAACAGGTGAGTCCATCTAGCCTGGGAGTGCAAGACTTTGTAAATCACTTTCATTCTCACTCTAGCCCAAGGCTGGTGAGAAGAATGCTCAGAAGGGGATCCTAAAAGATCCCACTTACACCTTTGCCCCTGGCTGACTGAAAGTTCCCGTGTCAGTGTCAATCTTTGCATAGGAGCCTTTTATCCTGGACCCCTATCTCTCTGAAAAAGAGGAGAATCTTGGACTCCCTCAAGCAAACGCTGGCCCTGACACTCCAGTTCCTTTCTCTCCCCCATACTCCAGCAGGTGTGTCCCTGACTTGTAGTTAAATAGATTTGCTTTTAAGCAAAAGGTTCTATATGCAGTATTTCCAAGCAGACAACTTATTTCTTACAGAAAACAACTCGCTCTCCCTTTGCTTCACATTTCATCATTTTAAGTAATATTTAATTACATGACATAATTATTTTGACAAGTGCAACTGGCACAAACAAGCCCAGCAGCCAGCACAATCAGCTCTTGGTAAGCCCAACTCAGCAGGAGGGAGCAGGCAAGAAAACAGTCTTGTCTGGAGGCAGCAGGGGCACCACCGAGGGCGGGAAGCTGGGGACCCTGAATGATGGATGTGTCAGTCAAGCACACAGGGCCTACTTAGAAGCTCAGAGACCTCCTGCTGATCACAGTTGCACCTGGACTCTCTGTCAATCAATAGAGAGCCTCCAGGGGAAGGGAGGAGGTGGTTAAGCCTCCCTCTGTGTTGGGTCAGCCCCACTCAGTGCTTTGGAGCTGCCCTGAGCTTTGGGTTTTGCACCTTTAAAAAGGGATATTGGTGAAGAGGAGGTTAACCAACTAGGTATGAGCTCAGGGGAAGACAAGCTTCAGGTTGGGTATTCAACCCAAGGAAGGAGAGAGACTCAGCTCTGGGAGGGATTCTGCTTCAGCTCCTTACAAAACTACATCACCCAACCCCACCTGAGCCCATCATCTGTAGCATCTTGTTTCCTTCTGTTGTATAGGCCCCCATGAATGAAGAAAAAGTAAGACTTATTCACTGTGAGATTCTTGGAAACATCCATGCCTTCTCCCACAAGGAGCGGAAGAGTCTTCTTAGGCTGGATCCTAACATAGAAAACTTGCCTACATGTGAGGGCCAGAGGAGCAGGCTTTACAGCAAGGGATCTAACTGTCCTCAGGCCATGAGGGTTTTTTGTTTGTTTGTTTGTTTTGTTTTTTGTGGGGGAGGTGACCTGTGTGACTGTGAACTTCCCTGGGCCACTTCCTGCCCAAGGGGGCAGAGGCAAGGCAGTAATGAGTACCCTTCCTCCCCAGAGGCAGGTAGATCTGGTCCAGCTGGTGCCAGGCTAGGACACAGCTGGGTATAGCTCCAACCATGCTGTCTGCTCAGCAGATCTGGCAAAGGGGCTCAGGCTAGACATCGTCTCTCAGGCCTCCCTTGTCCAATGGCATGAGAGCACCTGTTCTGTGGGGCTTACAAGGGGACCCTAATGGTAACTGCGGAGCATGGTTCCCTACTCTGCAAGAATGAAATGCTCTTTAAAGTTTGCTTTTATTAACCAAACTTTTCCTGAACCTGAAAGCAAGTTAATATGTGCTTTATGGTCATTTAGAACGATGTGCTCACCTAGTCAGGATTAGCTCACCTCTGAGAAAAACATTTCAATTGACCTTATTATGCTCTGTATTTCTAGTGTAGGGCTCTAGTGAGTCTTTGTGACTCTTTCAGGCCCCTGGCTCAGAATAGTGTATGTTTGTGTGACATGTGGTGATGGACTCTAAGACTGTGTGTTAGAATCAGCAAGGCATCGAGAACATGTTGAAAGCAACATGTAGGTATAGGCTGATAATATCTGACTGGGTTTGTGTGCTAGTGAGTCAAAGGGCCAGAGAAACAGCTGTCTCCTATAAAAGATTAAGACTCAGATCCCTCATTCTTTTAACCCTGTGTGTTGTGCTGTTCAGCATGTAGAAAGGATGCTGTTGTCTACGATTCTTAGAATAGAACCTGCTTTTAGATTAGATGACTATCAGATTAGAACAGGAGAGGGCAGAATTCTTTGGAATCAATCAGATCCACCCACGTGTAACTGACACCAAGAGTCATTCTTCTTATATTCAGCAGCAGCAGCACGTCACAAAACTGATGGTTGTCACGGAGGATCCTAAAGCAGCCATGTGGAAGGCAGAACTCTGTGAGGAACAGATTGTGGCTTTGAAGCTGGAGGACATTTGTCATAAGAGACAGCTGGCCCTGCCACTCTGGGTAGGGTGGGGCAGGGTGGGCCTCCAAAGCCAGTGCAGAGGCAGCTGTAGGCCAGCCTAGACCCAAGAAGGCAGGAGTGACTTAACTGGGTCCTTGACTTGCTGGGCTATATCTAACATGGTCCGTGGGGACAAGACCCTGGCTTCTGATCTAGACCTTGGGGTCTCATCTGACTCTGACCTTGGCCAAGTCTCATGAGGAACAAATGAGAGTGTGGGACAAAGTACTGTGGGTAATCAGAATCTCAGAGTGTTCACGGTGACATTGGTGGCCCAGCTTCTCTGAGACTCAGTTTCCTCTTCTATCGAACCCAAATCCCTACTCTAGGCACATGGATGATACTGAGTCCAAACTCACCCTAGTTGCTGCCTTGTGACTTGTCATTGGCTTAATGTCCTCCCCTCTTAAGGTGAACTCAAGAGCTGAAGTTTCCAGTTCCTTGAAGAAACTCACTGTCACCCATGGGATCACCATAACCAGAAGGTAGACAGGTGCCAACACCTCCCCCATTCTTCTCAGCCCACATGCACTGGTGGCTTCTCCCACCACTAGAAAGTCATGCCAGCTGACTCAGGATATGGAGCACACATGTGAGCACACATATGTGAACTTGTGGCCTCACTCATCAAGAGCCAGATGGATACCCTTACTCCATGCTCTTGCCTTACTGAGACCTGCTGCAGGAAGGGCAGGCCTAGGGACAGGATGCTGTTCTCTAAAAGTCTGGCTCTGCTCTAAGAAGGAGACTAGCAGGCTGCTTGCTAATCCTGATCATGTATCCTACCAATGTGTGGGTCTCACACTGTACAAACTAGTGAGGGATGGTGTGATGAGAGAGAAACAAAGGTTACAGAGCAGTGAAGGAGATGGTGTGATCCCTGGTTAGAGGATAGCAGAGAGGGCCAGCATGAGAGGTACTCAGAAGGACTTACGGGCATAGTGAGAGGAGGCCTTTAAGACAGAGAGAGGATAGTTGGGTAGTTGAATGGACAGGGAGAGATGGTTGGTTAGCAGATAATAGAGAGATGATAGATAGATAGATAGATAGATGGATGGACGGACGGACAGACAGACAGACAGACAGACAGAAAGATAGATAGATAGATAGATAGATAGATAGATAGATAGATAGATAGATAGATAGATAGATGATGGATAGATACATAGAACAAGACAAATGATCAGTGATCAGACCAGGGAGAAGAGGAGGGTGAACTCCTTGGGGGAGTGTAACTCTAGACATCAAAAAGCTGGATACCAGGAGGAAGAAGAAAAAGAGAGAGAGAGAGAGAGAGAGAGAGAGAGAGAGAGAGAGAGAGAGAGAGAGAGAGAGAAGGAGAAAACTAGACACAGGCAGAGGGAGAGACACATGGCAGGGATGAATAGAAGTAGAGACCCAGACACAAGGCTTCAACAAAGCTGGTCCAGTGCCAGACATGCCCCTGAAAGACAGAGGAATCACCCCAGAACTGTTGCCTGGGAACAGAGTGAAGAAGGAACTAAGAGACAGCCAGCCAGTTAGACACATAACAGGAAGAGAAAGAAGGACTCAGGGAGATGCTGGCTCCTCTCAGTGGAGGTAGTTCCAAATTCTGGAGTCACATCCATCCAGACTGTCTACCTTCCCTGAACCTAGTAGGTCCATTCCTAGGCCTGCTCGCTCACCCTCTGTGCTCCTCAACTCAGCAACTCAGGAAACAAAGTTGGTAGAAAGGAGGGTATGAGGAACACAAAGTTTGTCCCTAATTGACACAGGGTTATCATGGGCCTGGCTTCAGTCATACGTGTCAACCACCCCCCCTCAAATTCCTGGCACACATGGAGAAACTGAGGTCCATAGAGGAAGACAGACTTCAGGACCCTCTTTCCAGTCACCAGTCCCATTGCTCCCCCAAACCCGGACTCTTTCTCTTCCAAATCCCATTTCTGCATCACCTGGCACAGGATAGTGGTGGTGACCTTCCCCGTGAGATCTTCCCCCTGAACCCCTCACTTACCGCCACGAAGAACATGGTGAAGAGATAGACCATGGCCTCCATGTAAAAACGCCTCTTGGTAGCAATGCTCACTGTGGGGAGGAAGGCCAGGCTGCTGACGGTAGGCAGGAGCAGTTTGGCTACAACTGTCCCCATGGACCAGGAGGAAGGCACTGGCTGGGAAGAAGGTAGTGAAGGCCTCCCTGTTCTCCAGGGTAGGAAGAAAAAGAACCCACTTCTTCACTTCTGCAGCAGCCCGACCACAGCTGTGGCAGTGCCCACAAGGAGGACTTATGTGCTCCAAGGAGCATGTGTCCAGTGACAGATGGAGAAGGTCCAACAGCTGATAGACCATGTGGTCTATCTACTGTGTACTTGCCTCTAATATCCTTTCTCTCTCTCTCTCTCTCTCTCTCTCTCTCTCTCTCTCTCTCTCTCTCCTCCCTCCATTCCTTTACCCTTCCTCTCTCCCTTTCTCTCAGAGGAATTCCCCCAAGGAAGCCATATTTCTTTTTCTTTCTTTCTTTTTTTTTTTTTTGGAAGTAATATTCTTGGGAACAAGTTCCTATGAATACAACCCTGTCACCACCTCCTGGTCATTTTCTGTCAGGGTCCTTGTCCCAGGATGAACATGTCAAGGGTCCTGCTATTTGGGTCATACATCAAAGGGGTGCAGGAGGTGAGAAAACTTAGTTTAGCCAGCTTTGATCATTCCAAGGGCTTGCAGATAAGCTTCACCGTTTATTAGTCCACAGCCTTTTTACTCAACTGCTGGACCAACAGTCTTCTCTGCTTGGCTACATTGGATCTTACCTTAAGTTAGCGGTCAGGACCCCTCTCCATTCCAAAGCTGTTGTCTGGCCTTTAAGCTCTCTTTCCCTCTTTTTTACAGCTCCTTGAGCTGACTTCAGGAAATCACCTTCTCCTGTTACAAAATGTCTTAGGGTAACTGTCTGGCAGGGACCCCTCAGCCCCTAGCCAAGGAACGATGGCTGTGTGGTCCAAGTTTCCCAGGCCAAGTCCTTCTCTGGTTTATTTGTGATCAGCTTCTGTTGCTATCTGTCACTGTATACAGGGTTTAAACCCATAGTCTGAAGGCTTCTGGCAGGCGCATTTACCTGTATAACCCTCAGTGTTCACTCCCAGTGCCCTTTATTCTCTTTTTGGTAAGCTGTTCCCTGCTCCCCAACAGAGGCAGCTGCCATTATTGATTATTGCCAGGGCCTGAACTTAGTTAGTGGTTCACATACTGTGCACTCTTCAGGGTGTGGCTCCTTTCCTTTGACCTGCACGATCCCCGAGATCTGTCCTTACTGCTCTACTCCAGTTCCTTTGGTGGTTGGATAGTCTAGAAGGCTGTCCCCTACATCCATCCCACTAGTATCTAGTCCTTGGGGTGTAGCAGGGTTGAGGACTAATACAGCCTTAGTGGGGAGCTGAGGTTGTGGACTCCCCACTCTGTGAAGGCTTAGCTGCTCCACCCCCATTCACCTACTAGCTCCCACATCCATTTTTGGAAGTACCTTGTCTGAAGTTGTCTGAAGCCCATGTCTCCTGCTCACAAGGAAATATTCAACTTGATACACCTGGTCCTGTCATTCTCCTGCCTAAGACTTTTCCCAAAATTCTCTCAGGCCCTGGAGGAAGCTTAACTCTCTGAAAAGCTCCTCCAAGCTGTCCATATCCATACCTAGCTATGACCCCAGCCCTTACACATGCTACTCTTAGAAGCAGCTGCTCCTCCAGCTTTGGCTTCAGAACACTTCCTGTTCCTTGCTGTTCCAGCTAAGGCCTGGTTTACTCCCAGCCTAGACAGCGTGTCTGAGGTGAAGGCTGTGGTGATCGACAGGTAGTGAGCCAAAGGGTTTCTTTACTCTTCCTCTGGCTTGTCCCTCGATCTGACCCTACATCCTTCCTATCCTGGCACTCAGCACAGTGATAGATGCTGGAGTTGAACTCCTTGGGTCCTGAGCAGCAGATCTGTCTGCCTGGCTCCCTGCCATAGTTACTTCAGGCCCAACCTAGTATTTTCTGGGTCTTCAACAAATACCAGAGGAATGAATGACTGTGAAAAGAATGAATGAAAATCCAGGGAGGTGGGGCTGAGTCCAGTCTGGCTTTCTAGGGCCAGTTCCCTTTCCAAATGGGAAAACCAGTCCCTGATATATGAACGCTGGTGATGGGGGATGGGGAGGTTCATGGTTGCCCCTGAGCAACTCAGGTGGGGTCTCTCCTGACTCTCACCTCTCCTCTCTCTGGTCACAGTCCTAAGTCAGCCTTAGCTCCCCACAAGTGCTCGAAAGGGGAGCAGGAACAGAGCTAGATGTCAGGTACTCGGGGAGGTGGCAAGAAGCACATGTCCCTGAGCCATAAACCCCAGAAGTAGGAAAACATTCCCCAGCTCTGTGTGTGTGCATATGTGTGTGTGTATAAGACTGTGTGTGTGTGTGTGTGCGTGTGCGTGTGTGTGTGTGTGTGTGTAAGTGTGTGTGTGTGTTGCGACAATGGACTCCAAGCCAGGCTGTAAGCTTCAGGAAGAAAAGGATAAAAAAAAAGGAGGTGGGGGAGAAGGAAATGGTGGGGGAGCTGTATTTATGTTATAGCCGTTAAAAAGGAAAGGGTTTGAGGAGGAGATATACCAAAGTAAGGAGACAGGTGGCTGAGCCTGGGACAGCAGGAGAGCCTCCATATAAAGGCTGGGTGGCAAGCTGCCCTCCAAGAGGGTGGATGTGTGTGGCTTCTGTCCCAGCCTGGCTGCCTGGACATTGACCAGCTGACTCTGGAGAAGGCATCCAGTCTTGAACAGGACTGAAATGACCCTTGGATCTCTCAGAGCAGGGGAAGTGATTTTCCCAGAGGCTGGGGTTGGGGTAAGTGGAGTAGAAAGTGCAGGGAGCTGTTCTGGGAGGAGGTGTTCCCCCAAGACACAGGGAAGGTGCTAAGGGTTCACCTGCACAGGTTCAAGGCCAAGAGATACAGGAGTCCCCTACCTGCTCTGTGAGTTAGCCCAACAGACCCCAACAGCTATGGCCCCAAACTGTGAGTGTCCTGAAGGACAAACCTGGTCCACAGTGTGGCTGTTTCTCCATTGAGAATGTACTGAATGTGCACATGAGTCTTGAAAGTCATACATACACGCAGGGTCTGTCCAGGGCTAGCCACGTGCCAGGAGTTCTTCAGGCTGTGCCTCATGGGTCTTTTGGTAGCCAGCAAATGAAAACCTCTGCCTTTTCCATTTTACAAGGAAGAGACTGAAGCCCAGAGAAGAGCAAGAACTCACCCAGGGTTATCCAGGCATATCAGACTGCCTGGTCCTAACATCTCATCTCCGTTGTCCTATAAGACCAGAAAATCCGAAGCCATTGCCATCATGTCTTGGTTCATGAATGGACCCAGTGAGCTCTTGGAATGGCCTGGCTTCAGTGACCAAGGGTCCCAGGTGGCATCCCTTCTCTGCCCAGCAGGTGGCATGGTTCCATGGACCATGTAAGGGTCAGCAGCCTCTTGACCATAAAGCCTGGAGTAAGGACTGACAAGTTGGTTCCCCTTTCCCTAGCCCCTCTGCTGAGGGAGTGGCTGGGTTTTATAGAGGTGCTGACATGCATGGAATGCAGAGCTCTCTGCCTTCAGGACAGCTGTCTGTCTGCCCAGCCCAAGAGTGCCCTGCCAGCTGCTGTATTGGCCTCCTCCAATTTTTGAACACCCGGCCCACTGTAGTGGGTCACCCCAGAGCGCAGAGGCCTTACTCCTGTCTGGGGTCTACTGAAGTTACCTGGAGGAAAGGAATGGGTTTTCGAGCTCTATCTTTGAGGTCTGTGCCTATGCAACCATTTAGGGTGCTGTCTGTGTGCAGCTCAGGGATAATGATTGTCACCACAAGCTGACACAAAATCGGGACACCCCAGCTCCTTAACACTTGTTAGAAGGCTATATGAAGTCCTGCCATCCCTAGCATGGAGATCATAACTGTTTTATGGCCCCATGAACTTCTGCTGGCAACTATACAGGGCTGAAGGGCTCAGTGTAGGCCAGCCCTCTACTAAGAACTGTGTCCTTTGTTCCATGCCTTGGTTGGTTCTCACCCTGAGAAGAACCTTCTGGACCCAGGTGCTAGAGCAGGATTGGGGTTTGAACTCCAGATTCCCTGCTGTTATCTAACCCCTAGACTGTTTAGCAAATTCACTGCATGTGGCTAGAGGAGATAGCCACAGCCTAGGTTCTTCTATGGACCCAGGAACTTGCACATGTCTGTTTAAATCTTCCCTACACAAAGCCTAACTCTTAATATAGCACTCAAGCTTCTAGATTTAATTTGGCTTGAAAAAGCTATTCCAAAAGCCCTTTCAAACATTCACTGTTTAACCTCAAAAACCCTAACGACCCAAGAAGGCCTAATCAAAGTTTACTTCCCACTGCTCCTTATTACGCATCTCAGGACCAGCGGATGCAGGCTAGTGGTTGAGGAGTTAGTGAGGATGCCCATGGGTCCTTTGGGCAGGAGACCTTCCCCTGGATTTGCAGGTCCAGTGGAATGTCCCTGGCTTTTGCTGCTGTGTTCAGAACAACCATAGACAAGTTGTGATTTCCCAGGAGTCTGCGGTACTAATATTCCCTGACTAGCAATAACTTGGGTATCCTGTCTCTCAGCTTTCGATTTATGGAGTGCCAGCCACATCTCACCCCCAGCCACATTAGGCCTTCTAACCATGTCCTTGATTGATTTGGGAGGTAAAGGAGCCCCTTTTCTCATGGAATCTCAGACCACAGTCACCTGAGGAGTTATACTGAGCCACAGGCTTGGGTTCCCCAACTTGAGCTTCATGTGTAGACTTCACAAAAAAGCCAGTATTCCTGGATGAGAACTGTGGGAAACTCAGAATTCTACTTTATGGTCTAGCCTAGTACATGCTACGATACTTCTCACCTTCTGGTCACCCAGGAGTTTGTAACCCCCTTCCTGGGCAACTGCAGTGGGTGGAACACCAGCTGACTCAAGACTGTCCATTCTTCAGCTTTAGCTGAGCCTCAGGAGTCCCAGCCTCAAGTCTAAGGAGCCGTTTCAGCCAAATAGAGTTATAGGTCCTTGTGGGGAGCCCCCCAGAAAAAGAAGCTTCAGAAGAGCATGTTGGGGGTCTGAGCATGTGCAGAAGAGTCAGACAGGAACCAGACCAGAGCCACTGATTCCTTCAGTGATTTTAGGCTACCTCAGGCCCCAGAAGCGTGGTTGATGGAGTGAGGGACAGTGGTTCCCTGGCTGCGTGGACAGGTAATTTATGGGACTCGTCAATGTCTCCATTCAGAAAGTAGGACAAAACTTTCTCCTTATCGGTATATTTTTCCTGGCACAT